TTGTGTTTCAAAAATAATAATCTTCATAAAATACCTATGATAAGGCACGAGGAACAGGTCATTCTTACACTGCCTAAAGCCACATAATAATTTGGGTCGCAGAGCTGAACTAAATTTCAGGTCTCCAGTATCTTTCCGTATTACCTACATTCCATTCTCTCATTATATAATTATATGCTGTAGATGGTTGTGTGTCTTTTGCCATGAAATTAGGGTTGATATCTTTGAATTGGCTATAATACAGGGAATGGATTTGTAAAAGTTAGGAGTGTAATCATACTTCTTGTGAAAACCATGATTATGCTTATTTTTTAAATGCCTTCCTAAGGAGGCTTTAAAAAAAAATGCCATGAGGTTGCTTAATATTTTCACTGGTTGGGGTGTCTAGCTGTATAGTACACGTACGCAGCTATCGTACAGATGGGCTGTGGTAAATGTTATGAGAGAGGCAGAAGAAGTGTGATGTGGTTGGTGCCTGGGGCAACTGGGTAAAGCTGTAAGAGGTTGTGGGATCTGTAATGGGCAGTGAAGAACGTGCAAGATGGGACAGGTCCTTTTAGATGAAGGAAACAACAGCATGAGAAAGAAAGGCAGAAAAGGCAGGAAATACCAAGGTGCTCTGTATAGATAAAGCATAGACTCGATGGGGAAGATATTGGAAATAAAGCCGTGAATGGATCACGGAGAGGAAGGCACAAGAGAATGGAGCTCATATGTGTTGAGCCTGCTGTGGGTAGGCATTGTGCTAGGGTCCTGGTGAGGTAGAGAGGATTGTATTCCCATTTTTCTTATGAGAGCCTGAGGCTCAGGGTAACTCTCTTGCCTGAGGACTCACTACTTGTGGTTGAGAGAATCAACATTTGAAACCAAGTCTGTCTTAACTTGAAAGTTCTCCTTTTATGCCAATTATCCTTCCACTATGTCATTCCATTGTGCTTAAAATGTTAGCATTTGACTTTTATTCTCAGACATTGTTGAAGGGTTCTGAGCAGGAATGGACATTACCAGAAGTGCCCATCAGGGAAATGAGATAGCAGCGTTGTGGAGGCTGGATGGTCACCATTCTAGTCTGAAGTCTCCTGTAACATTTCACACCCAGACGTTGGAGTCACTAAATGACTCTGTTCTCCAAACTCTATTTGCCATATTTTCCAGAGAAATAAAAATCAAGTTCTGTCCTCAGTTTTGTTCCTCCCTAACTGCCTTCTCCCTTCCATTAGTAGTACCTCGGTTTCACTTGGGTTTAATCTCTTTAGTGCATACCTTGTAGCTTCCTTAACTAACATTTATTGAAATTAGACCAACTCTGGGTTAACTACTAATTGACCAAGAAGTTCCTCAATCCCTAATACCTCTGAGACATGGATATTTTTTCTGTTATAATGACTTGATGAACTCTTATACAAAAAGATGTACCATCCACCAATACTGAACTTTGTCTTAGTATACTAATCATCTTTAGAATGGTATGTAAACAAGGAAAATGTAGAATGCCTATTCTTCATACCTTAAAAACACATCTGGAACTGTTCGAACTAACTAAAAGTAAAATAATTGCCATGGCAGATTATGCCATACCTTTTCTTTTTACTAAAAAAAAAAAGGAAATGGAAAACATACCACTTCTAGAAGGCCCTGACATTGAATTGGATATTGAAATGGCATCAGTAATGTATTTATATATGCCACATTTTCTTCCATGCATCAGCCATCTTTGGTACATGTGTGTTGGATATTTGCCATGTGAGTTGAAATATTACCACGTAGGGAAGATCTTGTTTAGAAGTGTTGTGAATCGTTAACATAGAAGTAAAGTCAATCCTTTTGATTATACGTACCTTCCTGATCTGATAGAGAGATTTTTTTTTTTTTAAATCATTTTGTGTCAGTCTTTCAATAAATGTTAGCATTCCCTTAGAGCAACTAAAAATAGGAATTATGTACAAGAACAGTATAATTTTCATGAACTTAAAACATTACATAAGAAATATTATAACTTAATATTGGTTTTACTGTATCCTGTAATTTGAAATGGAGTGAAATGCTTCTGTGGTTAAATCATAGCTCTTATGCTGTTTGCTATAAAAGTTTCAAGAATATATATTTCAAAATGTTTTTTTAAAAAAATAATCCAAAACAAATGCAACAGAACTCAGCATACTTGAAACACATTTTCTGAATTTATCTTAAATCTCTCTACTCCAGAGGGTTTTTGTGTGTGTATGGGTTAGGCCTGGCTAGTTATTTCACCATCTATCTCCATCCTGGATTGATTGCACTGAACAGCACAGAATGAGTTACATATGGTCCCGCTTTGTCTAGCTTTGTAGGACCTCTGGGTTGGAACTCCATTTGATCTGAGTGAAGCTAACTGTCGCAGAAATTTGGCTAATGTCAAAATTCTAAGTAACACAAATACATATATTCCAGTTAGAATGTATATATTCCTGTTAGAGTTACTGGCTATTCATTGGCTCGGTGGTTATCATTCCTAAAATATTGATGACATTTCAAGAACTTAAAAAAAAATCATTCATCTACCTTTTTATTATTATTATTATTAGGAATCATGTTACAAATGTGGACCAAGACAGAGATTTAAAACATTTTTTAATAGAAGTATAATTGACATACGATATTATATTAGTTTCAGGTGTGCAACATAGTGTTTTGATATTTTTATACATTATGAAATGATCATCAAAACATTTTCGAATCAAAATTATGAGTATATCAAAAACCTTTCTAAAATTGAGTAGAAGAAAATAGAAATACAAAGATTATCTGATGTTTGAAGAGGAAACCTGTTGTCAACTTTGTAGTTTATTTCCTTTTTCTTAGTGTGGGGCTATTTAAAAAAGAATAAAGAAAAATGGGTTTAAGATATGTTTTCAAGTTTAAGTATTGCTAAGAACTACATCAAAGTAAGGTAGGGACCGTGCCTTGTAAGGCTCAGCTTTTAGGGGGAGACAAAGCTGTCCAGGGTAACTTTCCCCCCTTCAGGCTCTTTTCTCCCTGTTTTGGTCTTTTCCCTCTTCTCTTTTCCTTCTACTGTTTTATTCATTTATTTTTTTGTTAGTCCCACTTCCCCTTCCCCCTCCTGCTCCTCCTTTCTCTGTCTGTGCACCCACGTGCTTCAAATCTGTGTATCTGGACTGCCTTCTCCAACAGTTCAGTGTGAGTGTTAGCAGAATGAAAACCAGATGGACCAGCAGTTCCCACTGTTATCTCTCAGCCGACTCTGGCAAGCCTCCCTTTATCCCTCCTTCCTTGGCATGACAGAAATATTTGCCTTTATTTAGGGAGACTTGTATTTGCTGCTGTACCTCTGCCCTCAGCTGCAACATAAGCGGAAAGCTATTTATTCCCTTGTTGCTGAGGTTGGTTGAGGTGAGTAGACTGTGCAAAGGATTTAACTATGGAAGAAGTAGTTTTAGACCTGCCTAACTTCTGTATTTTTCTAGCATAAGTGATTTACTGATACTGGTTGTTAAATGTTCTGGAATAGCAATACGAAGACAAGTTTTCAGCAAGAAGCTAAGGGGAGAAATGCTCTCCATGTGTGCTTTTACCATCATTTCACTCAGAACATTTACTCACTACAAGGGCATTCATTGTTATTCAACTAGCAGTAGAGATTAGGAAATGGAGACCCTGATACTGTTACTAGGTCATCATTCAAAATGCTGTTACTGGAATGATGATTATTTTCATGCTTTTATTACATCTTCCCTAATATAGTATCAGCATTATATCAACTTTTAAATGTTGTGTTCTATTACAACCCAAGTCTTATGAAATTGCTTTGAATAAAGGTGGGGTAGCTTTGGAATTCTCATTGTAGTAATTTGGGCTTTTTATTTTCTTTTAATATTCGACTTTTAAGTAATTTTGAGAATTTCTCACTATGGTTATCATAATGTTATAAAAGACCCATTCTTTATCAATAGTCTATGTTACTTCCTTTCTAAAAATTCAAGTGGGAAATATCTACACCTAAGACTGCAGGAGGCACCTCAAACATTTTTGGCGTGTGTGTGTTTGCATGTGTACACGTTTGTAGAAAATTGGGTCTAAAGAAACAAACAGAAACTCTCTCTTTTACTGGAGATCTGTTGCTTTGATAAATAGATTAGATGGAGAGAAAAGTTGGGAATTTCAAGGGAAAAGTATACTTAGTAGAAAACAGTCCTGAAGTGCAAACGTTCATTATTAAGTAATCAGGAAATGTCTCCACATTTGTCACATACTCATGAAAAAATATAAGGAGGGTCTTTTGTTCTTTGTAGTTCACAATTTGGAACTTCTCCATTCTTACTCTGCCTGAGATTGTTAATTGAGGTATTGGTCTCATATTTTTAAAAGGGTAGGTCATAAACTTGCAAATTCTTTGTAAATAATAGCTTAACTTCATTGTGTGACATAGAGCATTTAGGTAGGGTGGTGACTTTTCAAATGGGGCAGAAAAAACTGGAGTGAGAGCTGTGTCTGGGAGCCCTAACTGGCTTCATGTACTAGGCCAGAAGACTAAGCATGGAAAGGGGATGGCAAGTGTTACAAAAATCCGCAAAAATGCCAGTTCCCACCAGTTATCTCACCTGCATAACAGAGCTTCAGATCTGTGTTATTTCTGAGCTGAGGGGTTCATTACCCTCCTACTTCTTCATCTATTTTTTACCTCTTGCTAAAGTTGGCTTTAGCTTCGAGTGAAGTTGTGCTGTTGCATAGAACACTACCAAGGTAGCATCTGCCTGAGCCAGAAATAACAATAGGATGGAAAATAACCCAGTTACAAATGAGGTCCTGCCATCTGTGCTATACCTTCTTAAGTGGAATTTGGATGATAAAGTCTTGATTTAAACTTCAGTTAGATAAGCCTATTTTATTGATAGAAGATGTTAGATTTGTTCTGTTCACTTGCTTGTTAAAAAGATGAACCCCACTTAAAAAACTGAGATGCTTAAGCAGTAGAATAACATGTTTGTGGTGGCATCCTCCAGATCGGACTGAGAAGCACTCCACGATGCCAGACTCACCTGTGGATGTGAAGACCCCGTCTAGGCTGACTCCTCCCACGATGCCACCTCCCCCAACAACTCAAGGAGCTCCGAGAACCAGTTCATTTACACCAACAACATGTGAGTAGGCGTTTCTGCGTTTCCTGTTTTCCATTTTGAAGTTTAAATTAAATTTTTTTCCTGCAAATAAAAATTAAGGGAAATAAGATCCAGCATCAATTTATGCAGAAATGAAGCCGAAAAATATATCCTTTGTTTGCCAGTGAGTAGGTATTGAGCACAGATATAGCCTATTTTAAGTATAATTTGTGTGACTGCCAATATTTTTCTGTCTTTTCATTATTGCTTCAGAGTTGCAGTCCACTGTGACTGTAGCCAACGAAGAACGCTGCATTGGGTCTGAAACTCCAGTGGTTACCATTGTAACTTTAATTTGACTAATGAAGAGCTCCTTATTTTAGTTTGCTCGTTTTGACTTGGAACATGTTAATATGCTCTAATTATTTCCAGGTTACTTCTGATCTTCTAATACCACTTTCTTCTCTTATTTACAAATAAGGTTGAAATCTAACATCCTTAAGTTAAAAGGGTATTGCTATATGCAACAGTCACATATAGAAAACTTTCTGAAATATGGGGCCTCTTTCTTGTCTTGAACCTGTCAGACTTTTGTTAAACCTTTACTCCCTTCCAGCTTGGCTCCAGCCTGTGTTCTGAATCAGTGGAGTGTGTTGCTTTCTGTGTCGTCCAAGGAAAGGACAGAATGTTCTGACAGAGTAGCAACTTCTCTTCTTTCCTGTATATTCCACTGGGGATAGTATATAGCTTTGTTTTCATCAATCTGAAAGTCCTGGTTAAAATTGTCATCAAGGATTTGTGAAACTAATAAATGCTATCTGTTGTAGATAATACTATTTACAGACCACGTCCCATGAAATCTATATGAATGAAAAATAACTAACAGGCAAAAATAGATCCGTGGGATTATAAGGGATCGGCAAAATACACATCCCAGGCTGTTTATGCAGTGTTGCACTGCCATTTAAAGGACCTTTCCAAACATATAAGGAGCAGGAGGCTGCAACAGTGCCAAGTTGTAACCCTGTCATCTTGTATTTGGTTTGTTGTTACCCAAAGCCACAGTGACAGGCATATGTCTTCTGTGAGAGGTCCTAGGGAGCTATCATTTCTCGACAGGTTGCTTTGGTACTCATTTGGAAAAAGAGTCCATTTTATTATCTTGAAACTTTTAAGAATAATAGGATACTTCTTCAAACTGTTGTTGGAGATAGTCTGTCAAAATTATATTAAAAAGATGGGTTTGATAAAGATCAGTTTGTCAAATTAATTGATTTAATATGATAAAATCAACGTTTTCTTTAGTGAGAAATGTGCAAATTTTTCTAGCCTAGTTCTTACGGATTATCATCTTGATGTTCAAATAAATTTATCAGAAATGAATTTCCTGACTTTCCACCAATCAATGCTATTAGTTGAATTGAGATGTCCCCTTTTGATTTCTTGAAATAACTCCTTGATAATTACCATATCCATTTTGGCTTCTTAAATAAAATTTGCATTTTCTCTAAAGAAGTGGTTAAGAAATATGAGGGGGAGAAAATAGCCTTCTAATTGGGTGGTATAAGGTTAAAACTTGAAAGTCCTATTTCTATAAACACAGCTGTCAGTTGTGTGTACAAAACATGATTAAAAATGTTCAGTGATAAATTTAGTCTCCACCAAATGTACACTTTCTCTAGGGGAGCAGTTTAGAAAGGAATAGTCTTGTTATATTGATGTAAGCCTGTGACAAAAGGCTGACATCCAAACGCTGTTTGTTCTGTGTTTGAAACATTTCAGGTGGTTGGCATATGTGCACCGGGGAGGCAGGGCTGTCCCTGGTACAGCGACTCCAGTTATCATCAGCTTCTGTGCAGAAGACCCTCATGTAGTGTCAGGAGTAGACCCATTTAGCTGTAGAGTACCTGAGCCTGTGGTAATCTTGGAAAGTCAAAGCATTTTGCAAAAAAGCCTCAACAGTTTTTAAATTACAAAGTCCACCAGATTTAAAGGGAAGGAAACTTGGTTGTAATTTCCTTGTGCATATTCTCTGTAAGTTTACTTTTTCTTTCTGATTTTGTGCCCTTGACAGTAACCAATGGCACGAGCCATTCACCCACAGCCTTGAATGGCGCCCCCTCGCCGCCCAATGGCTTTAGCAATGGGCCTTCCTCTTCTTCCTCTTCTTCTCTGGCTAATCAACAGCTGCCCCCAGCCTGTGGCGCCAGGCAACTCAGTAAGCTGAAACGGTTCCTTACTACCCTGCAGCAGTTTGGCAATGACATTTCACCCGAGATAGGAGAGAGAGTCCGCACCCTCGTACTAGGACTGGTGGTAAGCAAATGGAAATTGGCCTAATTTTCTGGGGTAAGGGAGAGTGTGTGCAGGAGATTCAAAATACAGACTCCATTCTCACAGCTATTTTGTTCTAATTGTTTCTACACCTGGAGATTGCGTGCAAGTCGGATAATTCTGTAGTAACAAGGTTTTCAATCCTGCGTTATGTATTGACCCCACCATGGTTTCTTTACTATTTGACTAGTAAAGATATGGTTATACAAATTTATTGTTATCTTGCCCATAAATGTGTGTGTGTATAAAATTCAATAATTATATCCTCCTGGCATGGGTAGAGGCTTTTAACAGTGGCAGTGTTTTTGTTATGTTAATGATTTACTTTATCTAATTGGTGCCCATTTTAACTTAGTTGCTTTGGGGGATTTTTATTATCAGTGTAGATGAACAAGAATTTATAATGAGTAACACATTCTTTCATGTGTTTTCATTTTTAAGGCTAATAACATTAAAAAAATTTTTTATTATGGTAAAATATACATAACATAAAACTTAGTGTTTTAACCATTTCTAAGTGTACAGTTCCGTAGTGTTAAGGACATGCACATTGTTATGTAACCATCACCGCCATTCATCTTCAGAACTTTTTCATCACCCCAAACTGAAACTCTGTACCCATGAAACGATAACACCCCAATTTCCCTTCCCTCAACCCCTGGTAACCACTAATTGCGTTTTAAAAACAACAACTATTTGTTCTAGGTAGAGTTACTTAAACCATTAGTTTGAGAACAGAAGTTTGCACATTATACTACATTCTGTACATTATCACACTGGAAGTTAGAACATATATCATTGTTTTGCATCCTGAATGACTTTTACATCTACTGTGATTTTCTATATAAGTAGAAGATTTTCATTTAGGAAGATGATTTTCCCACAGCAAACTAAGTCACAGAGAAGCTATGAGTCACATATTAGTCCTTTCATCATCCAGGCTTATGGTGGAACTGAAATTCAGATGATAGGCAACAGTTTCCTTTTTCTTGAAATAGCTCATTTACTTTCGTTGTGTGGACTTATCATGGGCAAAGCCATACTAGTTGTGTTTTGCAAAAGTCCCAGATTTAAAAGTCTAAGTGAGAGTCTAGTGCAGTGGACATGCTTCACATCACAGTATCTCGCATTTGACAGAGATGTTGCAATTCAGGTTTAACTGTTAACCTCCGCGCTCTGAGAACAAAAACCTTTCACGTTTGCCGCGGTCGTTTGCCGCGGTCGTCAGCTTCCCCTGGTACTCCTCCCGGACGGGAAGGGGATTTTGACAGCACTGTGTCAGCATCCTGCGGTTACTTTTGTCAGTCACTTATCTTTTCTTTTTTATTCATTCTTGAGTTTTGCATAATAGGCTTTTCAGCACGCAAATAAGTTAGAACCACAAAGTAAATCCAAAGCAGTAATTGTAGCAAGTAAATGGTGAATATGTTGTTAGTAGGAAAAAATGTTCTTTTGAAGACTGCTTTATCAATTTGGTATGTTCTTTGATATAACTTTCCATAACTTCAAATATAGAACTTCATATATAGAAAATTTGGTAGCTTTAAGTATATTTTCCCACATGTTAAGTGGCATACTTTTGAGTGCAATACTTTTTTTTAGATATTTATTTGTTAAAAACCTTACAGAGATAAGTTGGAGGAAGACATTACTCGTGCTTTGCATATAGTAGGCAGGCAGCTAACGTTTGTCAAATGACTGAATGGAGGCAGATCTTGTTTGGAACATTTGACTGTGAGCTTTTACACACGCCATTCTATTTAAATCCTGGGACCACCCTTTGAGGTAGTGATTTTTATACACATTTTACATGTGGGGAAACTGAGGTTTACAGAAGTAAAATAGACAGGGCCACCCAACTGGTAGTGACAGGCCTGTGATTTGAACTCAGGTAGTAAATAGTAGTAAATCCATAGTAGATCACATTATGCTGTTATTCAGATGGACTTAAGAAAAGTGTTTCTAAGAACTGTATAGAACACAAGTAGTATGGCTCTAGAAAGTGAGCCATAGAAACAAAATGAAAGATAAAGAACGGGGCTTCCTGACCTCTATTGTTACAGATAGGAAGTTCCTATTTATTCATAGTTTCATGTGAAGATGTTTTGAGTTTGGGGATATAAAAAACTTAGAACTTGGTGCCCCCGTACTTTATCTTAAAAGGAAAAGGAGCAGTACAGAAAGGTGGGTGGAGCAATATTCTGAAGGTGTTAGGTCACAAATATCCCAATTTTGTCCGGCATGAGGATGGTTTAAGGGTTAAAGAAGTTGAGACTGAAGTTTACATTTGTGATTCTACCTAAGGACCAAGGAAAAATGAGCCAAAATAGGGTTAATTTACTCAACATCTTTACGGTAGTTTGGCTATCTGTTAAGTAGATGCTTTTATCAATACATTTTGCCCATTATAGGATACAAACCTTGAGTATTGGGGGCCTGTTTTTATGGGTTAGGTTAGGAGTGAATTCAGGTGATTTTGTGCATCTTTTCTCGGTTGAGCAGTACACATTGCCTCCAGGGTAAATGGAATATCTTTAATAACTGGGGAATTTTTTCACCCTTTATGAGACTCAGTGACTCGAGAAGGCTCAAACCTTTTCTTTGGCTTCATTAGCATAGCACACTATCCAGTGAGCAAGGATGCTTTGGTAAAGAAAGAATGCAACATGGAAAGACAGGAGAAGAAGAAGATTTCCACCAGCAGTAATACAGACATGACATGTGGGATGAATTGAGATTCTGACACTTGAATTTGGCCCTTTAAGTGATCATCTGTGCTTTTAAATATGTCCAAGTGTGTTTGTTTTCTATAAAGGTAACATTAGAAGATTCTTCATAATTGTAGAGACTTCTCTGACAATTAAACTATGCTAAGGTCCCTGCACATTATTCTCAAAGTACCGCATTTCATGTGTTTCATTTTCAGATGCAATTTTTAGAGGTAGGTGATAGACTATAATATGTGATCTTTTTTACAAAGTCAAAAGGTTTTATATTGAAAATACTGCTCCCTGTATGTGTGTCTGCTGGTTGTTACACTGTGTTGTAATAATATTAGTAATTTATTAGTTTCAGTGTTTTTACTGTTTACCGAGAGACAAATGTATTTATAATACAT